TGGTGCACAATTTTTACTGAAATCTGAACGATTTCTTTCTTAAGGTCGTGCATTTTTGTCTTCAAAGGTGAGTACCTGGCGTGTGCATTACATGATGCACACAACCATATTATTAAACGTGAAATAAGTTCAAATCACTGAGTACTCGACAATGAAATAAATAAACGAAAAACACGACCACAAGCGGTCAAAGCCAAGATTACATAACTCATCCATATAATCTATGAGTGGCTCACCAGCAAACTGGTTGAACAAACCTATGCAACCGTTTCCAGCCGGCTGCACCCAGAGTCATAAGCGTTTGCGGGTCCACACGTTGGACGCTACAGTGATGACCCCATATGAATTAAGGTCGTAGCTCTGTAGATAACCTACAAGAAATTAGGAGAAGATGATCTGTTAAAGACGTAATCATTCCGACAATTTCATATTGCCCAGAGAATGGCTCAAACTCCCACACGGATTTGGCCCTTTAGCTTATGATGAAAACCACCTAACCAGTTTCCAAATAAATTTGAAATACACGTTGGTGGTTCTAAATTGTATTTAACATGAACTGTGCGCCAGATCATTGTAGTAAACTGACATGACAGAAATGAATGATGAATTGTCTCCTTCTGATCACAAAAATAACATTTTTTTGTCGCCATGCAAGTTACGTTTAGAAAGATTAACTTTGTTAAGAAGTACCCCCTTTGCAAAAACCAAATGAAAACTTTGATCTTAGAAGGAACCTTCATTTTCCAAATACGTTTTCTGCGAAAAATAGGTCCACGGTCCATAAGATCTGCATACATAGACTTCATAGTGAAGACACCATTAGCGATTAACCTCCACTAGAATGGATCTGGCATCTGACTTAGATCAGTCGACATAAATTTAGAAACCAAATGGTCCCAGTTAGTTAATTTGTCACTCAGTAATGCTCTGCGTGGATGTTCGAAGGGTTATCCCCAAGAACAGAAGCCATCAAATCCTTTTTAACACAATAGTATACAGAGTCTGGTATTATAGAGCTAATGGAGTGTCACCCAATCAGGTATCTTCCCAAAAACTCATCGCTTGGTCGTCACCATCTTAAAGGAGCCTCTCTTAAAAAATATGACTTGACCTTCATCAAGCCACTCCAAACAGGTGAATCAATAGGCTTAACATCTACTTGCGATAATGTTTTGGAATTCAGGTATTTGTTATGCAACCACTCTTGCCGAACACCTTCCTCATTAAGTATATACAACCATTTGTTGAGTAAGCACATGTATTTTATTTCGAGATTCTCACCTTCTGTACTTCCACTTTTGTTCCTCGCATTGCCAAAAGAACCTAGGCTGGTAAAACTCCAGCATTTTCAACACCCCTTTAGGTATCTCAAAGAAGGATAGCATGAACTAGTGAGGACAACGTTGATGAGGGAAAGTCGTCCTCCATATGACAAGAGCTTACCCTTCCAACCGATGAGCGTCTTTTCGAAGCGTTTTCAATAAATTCCTTGTTGATGAGCTTACAGTCATGAATGAGAATCCTAAGGTACGTACACGAAAGGGATCCCACCTCACAGCCAAACAAATGCCTATACTGACTCTCCTCCTCTTTGACCTTACCAAAGTAGAAGAGCTCACTTTTGTGGAAATTAATATTGAGACATGAAAGTTGTTCAAAAAGACACAAAATGAACTTCATATTCATCACTTTTTGAAGGTCATGTTCCATAACAAGGACTGCGTCCTTCACATACTAGAGGATAGACACCTCCATCAACCAGATGCGGGATAAGCCCCCAACCTAACCATCCTTATTAGCTCTTGCTATCAGAATAGCCAACATATCCATCACTATATTAAATAAGATTGCGACATGGGGTCACCTTGCCTCAGTACCTTCTGAGTTTGGAAACAACGGCTGATGTCATCATTGACCTTAACCCCAACACACCCGCCCCGAATGTAAGAAGAGACTTGTTTCCTCCATTGATCCGTGAACCTTTCATGCAAAGGGCTCGTTGAAGAAAATGCCACTTTACTTGTCATATGCCTTCTCAAAGTCCACCTTAAATATAACTCCATCGAGTTTCTTAGTGTGGAGCTCATGAATCATCTCATGAAGGACAACCACTCCCTCAAGAATATTGTGACCAGGCATAAAGGTAGTTTGCATTGGGTGCATGACCGTATGAGCAATAGCAGACAATATATTAGTGCCCACCTTTGTGAAGATTTTAAAACTGAGATTCAATAGGCAAATGGGTCTAGTTGCTCAATTTGAACAACATCTACAATCTTGGGTAAAAACGTGATAATTCTAAAGTTGAGACGAAAAAATGAAAGATCGTCATTTTATAAGTCCTCAAACATTGGAAGAAGATCACCCTTAATGATCCCCCAACATTTCTGGTAGAACTCGGCGAGCAACCCATCTAGTCCCGGCACTTTATTACACTGCATGTGAGATATGGCCTCAAACACCTCATTTTCTAAGAAAGGTATTGTCAGCACATCATTTTCCTCGGTAGAGAGTTGAGGTATATCTTCAATCGCATCTTCCACTAGGGATGCAAAATTGGATTGTAGAGAGCTAAAAATATGCTTATAAAAGTTAGTTATGTAAGCTTTAAGATGGTCCTGACCGACAATATTCCCCTCATATTGTTCAAGCTGAAAGATTCTCTTTTTTGATGTTTTCCATTCACAACCAAATGAAAGAAATCATATTGTTATCATCTTCCCGCACAAATTTTACTTTTTCCCATCGAGCCCATTTGATTTCTTCCTCACACAAAAGCTTGGGCAAGAGGCACAGATTCCGCCTTAATGTCCAAAGCATTAACGGTTGCAAGGAGATGATCCTTTTCTTTCTTGTACTCACCAGTAATGCGCTTAGTCCAACCCCAAAGGACCTATATAATGTGCTGGATTTTAAATTGCCGCTTCTCGATGTTAGTAACTCCTCTAGTCGCCTTTGACCATTCATGAGCTACAGTATCGACAAAAACCTTTCCCCTCAAACCAAGATGTTTCAAAGAAAAGGGCTTCCTTGTTTCCCGGATGAGCCGCCTCACCGGAATCCAAAAGAAGAGGAGTATGATCGGATATACTTCTCTAGAGAGCATGAACAGCCACCAAAGGAAATTGCTGCTCCCATTCAACACTCATCAAGACTCGATCCAACAATCATAAGTCGGTGAGGGAAAATTGTTAGCCCAAGTGAACTGGCAGACCAATAAAGCTAGCTTTCTCATGTCCAAACTCTCAATAATGAACATAAATGGCCATCTCGCATCAAAATTACCGTTATTCTTCTCTTCCTTCCTTCAAATAATGTTAAAATCACCACCCACCAACATGGGAAGGGATTTCAAACAAAAAATCCAAGCAAGCTCAGTAAGGAAGTCGAGTTTAAGATCAGGTTGCGCAAACCCATAAATAGCCACAAGAGCCCATGAGAAGCGATCACTTCTGGAGTGAACATGAAACTTGACCACAAAGTCACCAACCTCCATATTCAAAACATAAAGTTTGGAATTATTAGATCTCCCCCCCCCCCGCCGCAAAACCACGAGCAATCAAGACCACCACAGAAGAAGTCCATAAAAGGCGTGGCAAAATTGGATCGAGTAGCCTCCATGAGAGTGATGAAGTCCAAATTCTACTCTCTAGAAGTATCTAAAAGAAATTGTCTTTTAACCAAGTCCCAAAGACCTCTACTATTCCGAAGATTCCTCTCATTCGACATGAATTTTTTTTGAGCTTGTTACAACTACTACAACGCACTGCTAAAAGATCATACTGCTTTTTAGTGTGAGTGTGACAGACCTTGTGAGGTACCAAAGGGTCAACGACATGACTCTCTGGTGCCTTATCCTCCTCGGGATTAAGATCCTCGTTGGGATCTTGAATCACAGAATCAACAACCCATAGGAATCATCGTCCCCAGGAGGTGTCATAGCGGCTATCTTTTGCGGGATAACACAAGCCCTATCAGTCTCCTAGTCCAACAATTCATTGACTGAAACGGCCACATTCTGCTCATTAGATCCCAAAGATACACCTAATCTTGAAGCTTTCTTCATGACATCTAGAGTCGAAAAAGGAAAGAACTGAATATTTTACGTTCACAATCCATATAAACTTCATTTTTTTATGTATGGAGTGACTTGGAAACGAAGATGTATGGCTTAGAAATGTGAATGTAGTTCATAAATAATTCAACTTAACAGACCACTTGAGCCTTTTTTATGGAAGGAGAAATGGCCGTAAAGAATTATTTTTACACTGCACACCTTTATACAGATTCAAAACGTAGTAGTACAAGAGATCAAATTACAATAGAAGAACAACGAAACAAAAGTTTTTCTCTTCATTTATTATTTTGGCATAACCTAGAGCCATGAAACCTTTACCCCCTCCAAACAGTGAGGAGAATATTCACCACACTTTGTCATTGGAGCCTTGCAGGATCTTGCCATGCCTATGATCTATCAAAGACATGACCATGCATCCCACCTTAACAACAACAAGTCTTGAAGCATGCCTGCATTGTATGACCCAGAATAGATCCTATTCGTCTACCTTTTTCAGGTAGTCGATGGCTATTCACTGCCACCACCTTAACACCAAAGAAGAGTTCGACCAAATGTTTTATTTTTGTCTTGATCCATACAATGCTAGAGAAGTATCTATGATGTGTCAAAAATCAATCTATAAAGGTGTGTCGAAAAGCCGATCTATATACTTTAATCTCGACTATGACGTGGAGGGGAACAAATCCTTGCTATGTTGACAGTTGGATTGACATAAATCAACCGTTGATATCACGTTTGAGCCCTAGGATTCGAATTTTCAAAATTGTAACCTGTATAGTAGTGTAGATACATTTCGTGAACGATTACATTTCCAAATATTACTACATTCGAGAGTGTTCCTAAATCGCGGCAATATTAATATATCATGATGATGGCAAGATACATTATTCCGTCCCAAATGTAACTCTACCACGCATTCTAGTTACTTGTAGCTTACACCCTTCTTGGTGCTCTGGGTGCCATTTCCATGGCCAGGTTGGTGCTCGACCTCCGTCTCCAATGGCTTAAAAGTGTAGTACTTGACACATACGAAGTAGTAGACGAGGTTGAGCCCCTGCAGCCCGACGACGAGCCAGTAGTAGTTATCCAGCTTCCCTCTGTTGAGGTTGTCCTGCAGCCACTGCCCGCTGGCCTGCGTTTTCTCGTGCACGATGGTCACCAGCAGCGTGCCGAGGTAGCTCCCCGCCGAGATGGTGAGCCAGTAGAGCGCCGCCGCGGTGCTCCTCATGCTCTCCGGCGCCTGGTCGTACAGAAACTCCATGCGGCCGACGTCCATGAATGCGTCGGCGATGCCGTGGATGGCGTACTGCGGCACCAGCCAGAAGACGCTGATGGGCAGGGTGGCGCCTTTGGGCGCGTCCAGCATGCCGCTGGCGGCGGCCACTGACTTCCGCCTGGTCTCGACGGCTGCCGCGGCCACGTTCGCCAGCATGGCGATGGTCATGCCGACGCCGGCGCGCTGGAGGTGGGTGATGCCGTTGGGGCGGCCGGTGAAGCGGCGGAGCACGCGGACGAGCACCCGGTCGTAGAAGGCGAGGGTGACCAGCATGGCGAGGTTGGTGAAGATGAGCATGGAGGCCGGCGGGATCTTGAAGCTCCGCGTGATGTCGCGGTCCATGGTGCGCGCCTGCTGGATCGCGAAGCTGCTGTTGTGCGACGACGCGGTCACCATGAGGATGCCCGCCGCCCAGATGGGCAGCATGCGGACGATCGACTTGATCTCCTCCACCCGGTGCACCGTCGACAGCCGCCACAGCTTCGGCTCGCCGGACGGCAGAACGTCGCCCTCCGTCACTATGGCCGCCTTGTCAAAGAACCTTATCATTCAAGAACTAGTAGTTAGCTCATGCAGGCTGCAGCCAAAAACTACATAAAGGTTTCATCGGTTGCCAGTTTGCCACAAGGAGTGCAACTCACTTTAGCTGGTTGGTGTGGAGAAGACGGCCGGTGGTGGAGATGCCGGCGTCGAGCTTCTTGTCCTCGTACAGGAGGTCCGGGTCCGGCACGACTGCTTTCCTCTTCTTAAACGCAGCAGCCACGACCTGTGCCAGCCGGACAAGCGGGCTGCCGCCGGGGGGCATCCTGACATATAGCGAGTACCCGGACACGAAGCCGATCACGGCGACGAACATGGCGATGGTGGGCACGCCGAGCCCCCACCCCCACCCGACGTTCTCCTGGATGTACACCACCACGGTGACCGCCGTGAGCTTGGCGAGCTCGATGCCGAAGAAGTACAGGTTGAAGAAGCTCCACATGGGGGCCTTGCCGCCGTTGGCGCTCCGGCGCCGGCGCGCGCCCAGCTCGAGCTGGTCGGCGCCGAACGCCATGTTGCAGGGCCGCGAGCCCCCGGCGCCGATGGACGTGCAGAGCAGCGACAGGTAGAGGATGGCGATCTGGTAGGTGGAGGCGCGCTGGCACTCGGCGGCGTGCTTGGCGCAGGGCGGCGGGCGGAGCGAGGGGAGCGCGGCGGAGAGGGTGAGGCAGACCATGCCGAGCTGGTAGATGATGGAGCCGACGGTGATGGTCCAGAAGCGGCCGGCGAAGGAGTCGGCGATGAGGCCGCCGACGAGCGGCGTGAGGTTGGTGGTGCCGTGGTAGTTCGTGAGCACGTTGGAGGCCTCCACCAGCGGCAGGTGCAGCTGCAGGGTGAGGTACGAGATCAGGTTCGAGCCGAACCCCACCGTCGCCAGCCGGTCGCAGAAGTCGTTCGCTGCAAGAATGGCGGGAAATGTTATATTTCAAATTGTACTAGTATATGCCAAAACATTTTTTTTCATATTTTTTTTGCAGGAGAACAATTTGTTCATATTACTTGTTCCAGAATCACAATCTTGCTTTATTTGACACACGTGCTAGATTCTCTAGATATTTTGAAACGGCAATGATGATAATCCATATGGATACCTCCCCCAAAAAGACATTGATAACATGACGAAGGTTTGACATGAAAACCTTGAGAAATCTACACGCCTCGTGTACATGATGAATAGGGTGATGCTTCAGCTATAGAAGGAGAATTTCTTCTCTACAATTAATGTTACGCGGATAAGTAGCAGGAAACAACAATATTCCTGCGTCCAAAACAGTCGCTCTTTTTTTCCTTTGAGGAAAACAGTTACTCTATTTTGAAGTTCTGATTACAAGTAGGAATTACCTTGAAGTTGTAATTTTCTAACATTTCGCACTCACTATCAAGTAGTAGTATCGAGCAGTCAAAAGTCGTAAAGGTATCTCGTGAGGTTCTTCATGCCCGCTCCCGCTCCACCCCCAGGCCCCGCGCTGGCGCCCGCCCCGGCCGCCCTCGCTGACCTGGCGGCCTTCTGGTTCATGCCGCTGCCGCCTCCGCCGCATGGCCGATCGGCTGCTGCCGCCCCTGCGAAGCTCCCCTCCCCGCTGCGGCCGTCGGATGCCCACCTGTCAGATCTAGATTCCCCGACGCCCGGCGGCTGCGACGCGCGCACGTCCTCCGGATCCGAGTTCGTCCCCGAGTCGCCGTTGGGTCCTGGCCCGGGCTCGGTCGCTCCTCCAGCTGCGTCATCCCTGGCGCGCATTGATGGGAGGTTGGTGGCTCGCCATTACTGCTCCACATCGGTGGAGCGCTCCAGCTCGCCTCCTGCTGCGACTTCAAGGCCAACGCCAGGCGCGTCTTCAAGGCCGGCGACAGGCGCGGGGCGCGAGGCGGACAAGGCGGACATGACCGGCGGCTGGCGCCTTGTCAAATCGCGGCGAGGCCCGCGCCGCCCGGCTTTGGAGCCTCAGGCATTCATGCCTCCTCCGCTCCCGCTGTGGCTTGAAGGCCGATGTTGTCGCTGCCTCGCTCCTAGGCATAAAGCGCTGCTGTGCCGAGAGCCCATCCGCTGCGCTCGCTGCCTCGAGAACGGTCACCGCGCCCGTGGCTGCAAGAACCGGTGGCGGCCTCTCAGCTCTCTGCCTTGCCTCTCGTTCATCCCGCCACCACCTCTCCCTCGCCCGTCGCCTGCTGCTCCTCAGGCTCAGGAGCCCAAGTTCGGCGCTGGTCGGGGCTGGCCTCTCCCCAAACCTGCGCCGGCACTGCTGCTGCTCCCCCAACCACCAGCACCCCCTCTGCTGCTCGACACCGCCACCACCACCATGCCGCCTCTGGGTGATGCTGCTCTCAGGCCTGAGGAGGACTTCGTGGTCATCCCTGCCACGCCGGAGATGCAGGCTGAAGCTGCCCTGCTCTCCACCAACGCCGCCGTTGCTTGGTTCGAAGGAGCTCGGGAGGATGTCCCCTGCAACACGGTGGCTGCTGCGTTCGCCGCCACCTTCGACTTCAGGCAGGAGGATGTGAGTGTCGTCCGACACTACCCCGAGCAGTACCTGGTGCGGTTCTTGTACCAGCACAACTGCGCCGACGCCGTCGACCGCGGCGACTTCCTCGTCGGCAACTCCAGGCTCTTTGTCCGTGGGTGGCGGCTCGAGCCGCACGCGGACAATGAGGACATGTTGTACTATGTCCGCCTCTGCCTTGAAGGGATCCCGGTGCACGGCTGGAACAACTACATCGCCTCGTTCGTCATCGGTCGTGGCTGCTCGCTGGACCTGACCCCAACCGCATCCCCAAGGTGAAGTGGCTCACCTTACTGGCTCGGGGCCATCGGCGTCGCGGCCATCGTGGCCTCCGGCACCGCGTGCTGGTGCACCTTGATCTGTTGGAAGACCACACCAAGGCCAAGGATGACGACGACAACCCGCCTCCTGCGGAAATCCAGGAGTACACTTGGTACCGGCGTTGTGTGGATGGCACGGTGGGACGCGGTGAGCGCCGTGCCGCCCAGGGCAGAGATGAGAGGAGGCCACCTCGCCGGGACGACGAAGATGACCGTGACGGCCGGCAGGGCCGTGGTGCTCCACGTCCACGCGAGGGATGGGGCGCCCGTATCCGGCGCTCCCTCTCCAGGGGAGCCACTGATCACCAGCGGACGGAGGGGCAAGACCGCAGCCGCGACCGTTCTGGTGGGCGGCGTCGGAGCGACGCCCCTGCGATGGCCGGCCTCGCGCCTGCTCCTGCTAGCGTCGCGCCCGCCACGGTCCTTCTGGGCTCCAGGTCCACCAGCGCTGAGGAGACCCGTGCCCTGGAGTTGCTGCTGGTGCGTGGGCGTAGCCCGGCACGCCAAGTCTCGCCACGGGCTGTGCGCCGGCGCGCCCAGGAGGCTCTCACGCCGCTAGCCTCGCCCCCTCTATCCCCCACGTCGGTGCTGCCACGTCAACTCCTCTCCAAGCGAGACGATCCCAGGGCGTCGGCCATCTCTCTAGCGGCTCAAAACCCGGCGGTGACACACCTCTGCTCGCCCACGATGCTTCTTCCGCCTCTGTCGCCGGCCAGGCCACCGGGCTTCGAGTCGTCGCCCACTCCTCCCCTTGTCTCCAGCGGCCCGGTGCGACGCACCCCCTCTCCGGTGCAAAGGCGCAGAGCGGCTGCGGACATCCAGCCGGCCAGTTTTGGCCTGGCTGTGCTCTTCGACGAGAGGCCGGAGCCGATTCTGCCATCCCCGGCGTCCACGTCGCCGCGTCCACCTACTGCTCGTCGCAAGACGCTTGCGGGTGTTACCATCTCCAGGTCCGCTACGGGTCTCTCCCTGCACAGGACATGTGTGAAGAACAAAGCCCCTGGGCGTGCCAAGGAGGCGCCTGCTACCAAGGCGGCTGAGCTGCTGGTTTGCCGCAGCCTGGGAATAGTCAAGAATGGCGAAGATGTTACAGCGGCGGCCTTAGATGCTTTTGCAGAGAAGTTCAAAGACACACTGCCCCCGGAGGTGATCAGCTCCATGCGTGAGCTTTTCAAGCTTGATGATGTGCAGGCTGCTGGAGTGGAGGATCCGCTTATCCAGCACGGCGGGGCTGGCGCCATTGACCTGGATGGACCTGAGGATGCGGCTGGAGCCTTGTTGGCTGCAATCTGATTGATGGTCGTTGTTCTTTGGGTTTAGTAGTTCCCAATGTTAGATCAACTTCATGTGTCTGTAGTGTGGTGCGTGCACAAGGTGCAGTGCCATGTTTTCTTCTGGTGTCTTTGTAGCTCCAGGAGCTTTGCTAAGCTCATAGTTGGGTTCTGTCAGCCCAGCTTGCTGCTGCTTTTGCATGTGTGGGTGGCTGATGGATGTTCATCATGCCTCTATGTGTACTCCCTATTATCATGTTAGAGCAAGCTATCAATGTTTTATGTTGGAACGTCCGAGGCCTCAATTGTCCGGATCGACGGTCCACTGTCAACGCCACCATCACCTTCTCCTCCTATCATATTGCATGCCTTCACGAGACGAAACTTGTCAATGTCGACGTGTTCACGGCCTCCTTCCTTGGGGGAAACAGACTGCGCAACTTTGCACAGAGGCCAGCCGAAGGCACAAGGGGGGGAATGCTTCTGCTTTGGGATGACCAGTTGGTGGACCTAGTTGACATCAACTACACCGCCTTCTGTTTATCCGCGATGGTCCGAGTCCGAAACTCCGACGTGCAATACAAGATCACCACCGTTTACGGCCCCACCGACTCTTCTCGCAAAGACGCTTTCTTCGCGGAGCTCATCGACCAAAAACCACATGCCGGAGTCCTATGGCTTGTGGCAGGAGATTTCAATCAAATATATCGCGCGCGCGACAAGAGTAATAGAAACATTAACCGGAGTCGCATCAACCGGTTTCGAACGGCTCTCCAGAGTTGCGAGTTGAAGGAAATTCATCTACAAAATAGGAGGTTCACCTGGAGCAACGAGAGGGCAAACCTGACCTTGTGCAAACTTGATTCGTTCTTCTGCAATGCTGAATGGGACGCCGCCTTCGGCACCCACGTGCTCCATGCCCTATCTTCCTCCCTTTCCGACCACTGCCCTCTCCTTCTCGCAGATGACAAAGGCCTGATGAGACCCAAGACCTTCAAGTTCGAAAACTTCTGGGTCTCCATGCCGGGTTTCATGGAAGTTGTTAGCAAGGCTTGGGATGAGCAGCCTCCACACTCTGAGCCGTATCAGATCTTGTTCCACAAACTCAGAAAGGTTGGACATCGCCTTTCTGAGTGGAGTAGGGGACTCTTCTCAAAGGCAAAAATTCAGCTGCATGCGGCCCTTTTGGTGATCCTGCACCTTGACATTGCGCAAGAAAACAGACATCTTTCCCCCGACGAGGTTGATCTAAGGGCTAGGCTTAAGAGGAGGGTAATAAGCCTAGCCGTGCTTGTGAGGGCTCGGAAAAAGCAATGCACGAGAATTGCTAACCTCAAGGAAGGAGATGCAAATACCAAATTCTTCCATCGCCGGATCAATGCAAGGAGGAGAAAGAATCATATCCTCAGGCTAAAGCATGGCCAGGGTTGGGTCACTGACCATGATGCTAAGGAGAAGATAATTCATGACCACTTTTCTACGGTCATGAGGAGAGGGTCTTTGTCAACAAAAGACTTCAACTGGGACGAGCTCAACCTGGAGTCTCACGAGTTGGAGCTGCGCGAGCTTGGATCGCCCATCACCGAGGAGGAGGTGCTTGGGGCATTAAACGACATGCCCAATGATAAGGCGCCAGGCCCGGATGACTTCACGGGCATTTTCTTCAAGAAGTGCTGGGGCATAATCAAGCATGATGTGATGAGGGTGATTCTCCAGTTTGACTCCTTACACACGTCCGATCTACACTGGCTCAACTCTGCCAACGTCGTGCTTCTGCCCAAGGAGGGAGCTGAGGGTATTGGCGATTATAGACCCATTAGCCTTATCCATGCTATCGCCAAAATCCTCGCGAAGGTGCTATCCCTCCGCCTTGCTCTGCACATGAACAAACTTGTCTCCAACGCTCAAAGCGCCTTCATCAAGACGAGAAGCATACACGATAACTTCATGTGCGTGCGCAACTTTGCCCGCCGGCTCCATAAGTGCAAGACTCTGTCGCTCCTGTTCAAGCTTGACATCCGAAAGGCATTTGATTCGGTCAGATGGGAGTATGTGCTGGACCTCCTCCGATGCCGTGGGTTCCCATGCAAATTTCATAACTGGATTGCGGCGCTTCTTTGCACCTCTTCCTCGAGGATCATCCTAAATGGTGTGCCCGGCCCGCCAATCATTCACGGTCAGGGCCTTCGCCAGGGGGACCCAATTTCACTGTTGCTATTCGTCATCGCCATTGATCCGCTACAACGGCTCCTTGACTTGGCTACCCGCAAGAAATTGCTCCACCGGATCCGTGGAAGAGGTGTCATGGTGCGTACCTCGCTTTATGCGGATGATGCCGCGGTGTTCTTGGCCCCTATAAAAAAAGACATTGACGACTTCTCGGCAATTTTACGTGGTTTTGGGGAGGTCACCGGGCTATGCACCAACTTTCACAAGAGCTCCGTTGTGCCTATCCGGTGCAATAACCTTAACTTGGGACACATTCTGCAAAGCATGCCGGCCACTGTGGCATCCTTCCCTCTACGGTACTTAGGCCTCCCGCTATCCGTCTGGCAGCTGAAAAAGGCGGATTTCCAATTTCTTGAAGACAAGGTGGCGAGCAAATTGGTTACGTATGAGGGGCAGAGCATTACTACCATTGGGCGCACGACATTAGTAAATCGGTCATCTCCTCACTTGCGGTCTACTTCATCACCTCCTTGATTGTTCCTCCGTCCATCTTGCAAAATGTGAACAAGCTGGAGCGTGCTTTCCTGTGGTCCGGGTCGGATAAGACCACGGGAGCAAAGTGCAAGCTTAATTGGAATATTGTCTGCCGCCCATCGGAGTACGGTGGCCTTGGAGTCCTTAACACCGCCAAGTTTGCTCGCGCCTTGCGACTGAGATGGCCTTGGTTCGAATGGACGGAGCCAAATAAGATGTGGGTCGGTTTGGGCAACCCTTGTGACGAGGCGGACATGTCTTTCTTCTATGCCTCAACCACCATTTCTGTGGGGAATGGGGCCAAAACGCCCTTCTGGGAATCCCCTTGGTTACAGGGAGCCAAACCAAAAGATGTTGCTCCCCTAATTTTCGAGGCCTCCATGAGGAAAAATTGGAAGGTGCGCGAGGCCCTCAAAAACAATGATTGGATTCTCAAGATCAACCCCTCCACGACCGTCTCCATCGAGCACATCCGGCAATTCTTCACTCTTTGGATGCTCTTGCACAACTTCCATCTTGATGAGCTTTCCGAGGATTCCATCATATGGAAGCACACGGCCGATGGGTGCTACACCGCCGCCTCCGCATATCAAGCGCAATTCCTCGGGCTAGTTCTCTCCCCCATGGAGCACATGATTTGGAAGGCTTGGGCGCCTCCAAAGGCAAAGTTCTTCGCTTGGCTGGCAACCCAAGATAGAATCTGAACGGCGGATAGGCTCGCCAAGCGGGGTTGGCCGAACTGTGGTCTTTGCCCTCTTTGCAAAGGGGAGCAAGAGAGCGGTCCTCATCTTTTTTTCAAGTGTCGTTACACCATCCGCCTTTGAAAGATGGTCATTGAGAAATTTCAGCTTACGCATTTGGACACCTCTTCATGGCATTTGGAGGCTTCAGTCAAGAGTTGGTGGGAAAATTTGACCGGCACAGGAGTACCCGACAGAAAGGCGATGGCCTCGATGACTATGCTCGTGTCGTGGACCATCTGGAACGAAAGGAATGCACAGGTCTTCCGGCATAAGTGTGCTCCACCGCCTATTTTACTAGCTTCCATTGCCAATGAGGCAAAGCTTTGGGTCACCGCCGGGGCAAAGAAATTAGGGGCCATTATTTTGCGCGAGTAATCACTCATGCCGTGTAAGGGTGCCTATTGTAACAAAACTTCTTCTCTACTTAATTAATATATGAGGCAAATCTTTTGCCTCGGTTTCAAAAAAAAAGTCGTAAAGGTTCGGCACAGATTTGATTCTGCATTTCTGCATATAACAACCGTATTGGTATTGTCTGATGGCTACACTTCGGCAGTTTAGAATTTCATTACTCACGGAGGAAGATTCTTATGCTGCTAGCCAGGTCAGGTTGTTCGATATGATTCCAAAAACGTCATTTTTGGTTGCATATAGGACTTTTCCTTTGGAGACTGCATATAAGATAGGACCTATAGGTTACATCAAACGGTGCAGTCTTGCCGTAGCACGTCATTTTTGAACAAAATAGACCAGGTTGACTTCACGAAAACAGCATTCACATTCACATTTGTGTCTGCTTTTTTCTCTGAAGAAGAAGAAAGGGTTCCCCTGGCTTTCCTTAAGACACATTTGTATTTTGTATCTGCTGGAACGTTAGACCATGTGCCGAGGTCACTAGCTAGTTCCGTTATTCTTTGCGTGTGCCTAGCTACTGAAGGTTCAGCAGAAAAATAAATAAGTTTTTCTGCGAGAGAAAAATAAATAAGGTTTGGTTTAATTTCATGCGAATTAAGTCGATTTTTTCCAGGTTTCGAATATTTCATGTGGAATTTGGAATGCAACAGGGTATAAATTCTGTTGTAACCAAAACGGTGTTTTTTGCGGTGTGTGCTTGAGGGAAGATTACATGGGGCAGGGGCATGCAGCAGCCCAAGATCATGAATAATAGTTGAATACAACACTTGAACGTTAATTCTTACTCCCTCCGTTTCAAAATAGATGACTCAACTTTGTACTAACTTTAATATAGTACAAAATTGAGTCATCTATTTTGGAACGGAGGGAGTATCTATCTACTCTCTCCGTTCATAATAAGTGCTGTGATTTTAGTTCCTAATACCGCTAACCTAACAGTAAACTCACGTGTCAAGATTGTTTCAACATGCAGAAAGTAGATGCATGTTATTCACTTGTGACAAGTCGCATGTCAAAATGAATGTGAATGAACGTAAAAAAAAAGCAACAATACTGTGAGTACGAAGGCAAAATCCTTGAAAAATGTATAAATTAAGTGATGCCTCATATGCATAGCTAGAGCCTAGAGCAACGTTCCACGCTCTTGGGTATCTTTTGGCAATTGCTGAGCAGCATTCAGACATGAAGCATATTCTTTTTCGCGACAAATTCGGTGGTCAAAAGCAAAAACACTACAAACGCATAGACCCCGGAATTACAGTGTGAAAAGAAAACTCTCCAGATCACGAGGTTTGGTAAATTTTGCAGATTGGAACTATTGCCTGATTTAACTTTTGTGCCATCAGTTATTGCCTCAACTAAACGTGTTTCATGTGCAGCCTCCACTGAATCATAAAGGAAAATCGATAGCACTAGATATCCGCAGCCGCCCAACGCAAGAAAACAAAGGAGCTGAGATAACGCTCCAGTGGAGCATCAATGGAAACCTGAGGCGAAACCACTAGCTAATTCTGTGGGAGCACAGCAAAGAGCAGATCCCAACGTGCATATCTAGCTTTACTAAGCTTAAAGAGAGAACCGAAGTGGAGAGCAAGGGGGGCAGGAAAGGATCAATCGATCAATCACCTAGGATGAAGGGCATGGTCCTGAAGCCGCCCTGCTTGGCCTTCTTCGCCGTCCCCGTGGCGTCCTCCGCCCGCTCCCTCCCGTCCTCGGCCATGCCGTCTCTTCTCCGGCGGGAACCCTGGCGGCCGCGGCGGAGGTTCCCGGCCGACTCTCGACGGGAGCAGTGGAAGAGAGCTACGAGCTACGGGTAGGCGCTGGCCGGCCGAGTAGCTCCGTGGCGTGCGCTGAGTGAGAATGGGGAGGTGTCCTGTGTCGTGCACGCCTTTATATAAAGGCGTACGTGGTTGCTAATGTGCTTGCACATATCCGTCCCCGGGAAAAAAGTCGCTGGAAATGGGAGGCATCCGCTCCACTACAGGATGATTAGGAGGATGTGACGGCGTCCACTGCTGTCAGATCAAAATGGCATCAGGGGCACCGCTTTAGATATCTCTTGATTGAATACCTTGCAAGATCGAAACGATCTTGCCGTAGTTGAAATTCGCTGTTGGGACTAAAGTGGACTAGGCCTATATAGCATGCACATTAAGATCGGAACGATCTTAACGTAGTGGAAATTCGCTCATCATATGATCTGCCCTACATGATCGTGAGCATCACCTATGTATCTTAGTTATATGAATTGTTTATAGGTGGATGTTGCTCTCTCTCTTTTATTGAAATATAATATATATATTATGTGTGTTAAAAAAATTTATACACTACATGAATATATTTTTTAAATTTTGAATATTTTTAAAGTTATATAAGCATTTATTAAAATATATAAAAACATAAACACTTACTTAAAGCATGAATATATTTGTAGATTACATTAATATTTTGTTAAAACTGTGAACAATTTTAAAATTCTATAAGAACTTATTGAATATAAGTTCTTATCCAATATGCAAATTATTACATGAACAACTTTGTAATTCATGCTTTATTATATGGATAAATGCTAACTCCATACGTGATTATTTTATAATGTAATTTATTATATATATATATATATTATTTATAACACGCTATTATAATTTACATATATTCTATAAATTTCTGAAAATAAAACCAAACAAAATGTGACGTAGAGACTGCAGCCCGCTTAATAGTCAAAGAATATATAGCAGCAACATCCGGTTATTACATAAAATGCCTTGAGGGTCAGGTGGTTAGCCTTGCGCTGCTGCTGTCTACAGGTACCAATTTTTCATTTATTCGTTGGAAGCTGACAAGTGGACCCTTGTAGCCGTGGCATAGTATTTTTCGTGACACAAAAATAGCAAAATAGCAGGCCACATGTCCACTTTGCCGTCCAGTCGCTGATAGCGGGTCCCATGCCATGTTGGCGTGCCTAATCAGCACTTTGTTTGTATAGAAACATGATTTACACCGTATATGCACATGAAAGCCAAATTGTGGCATCAGTTCAATGTATGCCACAAGTTTTAGCACTAAACGGACTTTTCACGCCAAGTTGTGACACCAGTGGTGTAATTGACAGTGGTGTTTAAATGAACACAAGTTTTAGCACCGTATAACCATTCGTCAATTTAAATGAACAAAAAAACAGTGGTGTTTAAATGAACAAAAAAAATTGAGGTGAAGTTTAAATGAACAAATAGTAAAGTGATGTGTGTTAGATGAAGTAGGCCCATACCTAAAAAGTATAATTGTGGAAATGGGCTTCTTTCCTTTTGGGCCTCCATCTTGACTTTGTCTTTCTTTCTCCTCTTATTTGAATAGTTGACTATCATGGGAAAGTACGTATGTTTCTTTGGAGACTATCGAAAAATTCTATACCAACTAATGATGTTCGCGCACATAGGCATATGTCAGACTCAGGTGCCTGTGGGCTATGCGGGGCTCCAGATTGATGGAGACACTCCCTTCTGGAGTGCACAATGACAAGATGCACATGGGCGTTGGTGGATGATGAGCTGGCGCAAACCCTAGCGACTATCACTGAACCACATGCTAAACATTGGTTATTCACTCTGATTGACTCTCTATCACATGAGGCGTTTGTGAAGCTAGCAATAACACTATGGGCGATTTGGGTGGCTCGAAGGAAAGCTATACATGAAGGTATATTTCAAAGTCCACAAGCTATCCACGGATTCATAAATAGATATCTGTCAGAGCTTAAAATGCTGTCGATATGGTTGCGGCGAAGATCTCCCTTTCTCTATCATCCAATGCTCGCTCCTTTGGGCCTTTGGATGATTGGCATTCGTGTTCCTATAACCTGCGTAAATTCCTCAGAGGTTGGTCTCGTAATCGTGCGGCGGAGGATCGTCGCACCAAATCTTTCCTCGAAGACCAGATCTTATCGCTGGATCGCGCGGCTGATTCTATTGGGCTCTCTGACGATGGTTGGGCGGTTCGTTATAATCTGGAGTCTGCTTTAATACAGTTACACCATCAGGCTGAGATTTATTGGCGTCAACGGGGTACTCTAAACTGGACTCTAAAAGGCGACTCCCCTACAGCGTATTTCTTTGCGATCGCGAACGGCAGGCGTAGACGATGTAGTATTAATAGCCTGCTCATTAATGGTGTGCGATCTTTGGAGCAGTCTGTTATTATGGCTCATGTGGTGGATTTCTTCTCTTCGTTGTTGGGGGCTACACCTCCATCGGGCTTCTCCATTTCTCCCTCCCTTTGGAACTTAGGTCTTAAAATCTCACCCGAGGAGAATGCCTCTTTGATGATCCCTCTTTCTGATCAGGAAATTTGGGATGTTGTTAACACTGCCAATCCTAATGCTGCTTCTGGGCCAGACGGCTTCTCTATTCCTTTCTTTCGGAAATTCTGGCCCCAGTTGAAACAGCTGGTTTGTAATATTATCCAGGGCTTCTGTCTTGGTACTGTCGATATCTCCCGCCTGAACTATGCAGTGATAACCCTGATCCCCAAGGTTAAGGGTGCTGATGTTATTTCCCAATTCCGACCTATTGCTTTGATTAACAACTTCGCCAAATTCCCGGCTAAAGGCTTTGCGAATCGTTTGTCGCCGGTTGCTCATAGAGTTATTAGTCCTTATCAATCTGCTTTCATCAAAGGGCGTTTCATCCTTGATGGTATCCTATCCCTTCATGAGATTGTTCACGATCTTCACGCTCGGAGAGCTAAAGCGGTTATCCTTAAGCTAGACTTTGAGAAAGCCTATGACTCCGTTAGCTGGCCCTTCCTCAAGCAGGTCCTTCTTGCTAAAGGTTTCGGAGGTGCTTATGTTCATCGTATCATGCAGTTGGTCTCGGGTGGCCATACTGCCGTTTCGGTTAATGGTTTTGTTAGCAATTTCTTCGCCAATGGTAGGGGCCTTCGCCAAGGGGATCCTGCTTTCCCTGTTCTTTTTAATTTTGTGGCCGACGCCTTCTCGTGCATGCTTTCCAGGGCGGCCCGTTGTGGGCACATTGCTCCTGTGGTCTCTCATTTACTTCCGGAGGGTGTTTCCCACTTGCAATATGCGGATGATACAATTATCTTGGTGGAGCTGGATGACACTTGCATTGCCAATCTTAAATTCCTCCTGTTGTGTTTCGAAGCTGTTTCGGGTCTTAAGATTAATTTCGCTAAAAGTGAGGTCCTGGTGACGGGTGTGGATGAGGCGGAAGCCTTGCGGGTTGCCAGGCTTCTGAACTGTTCTTTGGGTTCCTTTCCCTTTAGATATCTAGGCCTTCCTATCTCTCCTGGCGTGCTCCATGCTAAAGATTTCGCTCCGGCGGTCGCTAAAGTGGGGAACAGGGTGCTCCCTTGGAGAGGAAGATATAATACCAATGCTGGCAAAGTTGCTCTAATTAACTCCTGCTTATCCTCTCTCCCCATGTTTCTTATGGGCTTTTATCTTCTTACGGATGGCGTGCATGCTGGCTTCGACAAACATAGAGGAGCCTTCTACTGGAATTCTGCGGATAACAAATGGAAATATAGGCTGGTCAAGTGGCAGCATATGTGTAAGCCTAAAAACCGTGGGGGGTTAGGTATTATTAATACTCGGGTGATGAACATTTGTTTGCTTATCAAGTGGTGATGGAAAATTTTAACTAGTGGGGCTGACTCGCTTTGGTTCTCGATTCTTAAGGCTAAATACTTCCCACATTCCAACCAGCTGTTTGCCACCGCGAGGTGCGGCTCTCAATTTTGGAAATCCCTTGTCAAAGTCAGACCTATTTTCCTGGAACATGTTAAATTTAATGTTGGTAATGGGATGGCAGTCCGCTTTTGGTTGGACTGGTGGTCGGGGGATGCCCCCCCTTGCTGAGAGTTTTCGGGTTTTGTTCTCTTACTGTCCTAATCCGGGTATCTCCATCGCGGAGGTGGCGGCTAATAACTGGGATCTGGCCTTTTGTCGGGCCCTGTCTTCTAAAGAGTTGGAAGATTGGCAAAGTCTCTCTGCCCTCTTCCCCGTGCTCTCGGAGTCGGCCGATTCTGTAGTATGGCCTCATTCGGCCTCAGGTAGATTTACGGTCAAGTCGCTTTATTCTAGACTTATTGGTGGTACTCCTTCGACCAGATTCTCTTGTGTTTGGAAGTCCAAAGTTCCTCCTAAGATTACAATTTTCCTTTGGCAAGCCTTTCGTGGTCGCCTGCCGGCTGCTGACCAGATTAAAAAGCGCAATGGGCCTGGCTCGGATTTCTGTCATCTATGTGGGGCCTTGGAGAACTCTGATCACATCTTTTTCAATTGCATGCTGGCCAAGCTGGTTTGGTGCTGTGTCAGATCTTGGCTTCAGGTCTCTTGGAACCCCTCCTCTTTCTCCGATATTCGAACCCTAGCCAAAGTTTTGGTTGGGGTGACCAAGAGGGTGTTTTGGGTTGGCCTGGGTGCCTTATGTTGGGCTCTGTGGACCATTAGGAACAAATTTACTATTGAGCATATCTTCCCATCTAAGCCTGCTGATGTTCTTTTCAAATCATGTATATTATTGCAGCAGTGGAGATCATTGACTAAGGAGGTTGATCGGGATGCCCTGGACCTGCTCATCGACAAAATCCGGGCTTCGGCATCTCACATCTCCGGACGGGATCCTGTCGTCTAATCCTGGTGGTGTTGTTTGCGGAGTTTAGGTCTCACTCCTTTCCGGCCCGCGCGCCGTGTATGGCAGT